AGAGTTTATCTAGCATCTACTCATTTTAAGTACCAGCTTATTACAGGGAAGCACAAATATATAGTGCATGGCCTCCTCTAGTTGTCAAGACAAAACCAGCATTGATGAAACTGGGAAAATAGAGAGATCATGTGTAAGTAAGTGCTGAATTTTGTGTCACAGAATGTAAGTACCTGAAAAGCTTGTAGGAAAGGAAATACCTAGGAAGCCACTGTTGGTATGGAAAGCTTCATGGAGGTGTCAGTAATTGCCAGATGGGTATTGAATTACCTCTTCATGGAATTAAATATAGATGCTAAGAATTTCTTCAGCCTTCTCTCCTCTGCAATGGTAGTCTCAATTCTATGACCCTGTAGTAAAAGAATGTTTACATAAACTCCTACCATTTTATAGCATCTTTTGAACACTCTTCATTTCTCTTCACTTGGGGATGCTAAACTTGGAGGCAGGAAGTGTGTAGAGTCACTCTGACTGTAATAAAAAGAAAAGATAAAGATTTCTACATCTGCATACCTGTATCAATAGTATATGTGAATGTCACTTCATGCATACAAAAACCATAAATTACCTTTTGCATTCTCTCTTTTATGTTAAAGTCCCTCTCAGTAGTACTTACTTTTCATTATTTGAATCAGTGCATTGATCCTTTGTTCATCTTTTCTATTTTTCTCATTTCTCTTTATATAACTCATATCAGGCTATTCTCTTTCATGAGAGTGTTCACAATGGCCCATTTTAATAAACAAACCTGTATACAGAAATATTTAGAGCTGGAAGTCACCTTGGAGAATCAACTTTTCCCACCCTCTCATTTCACAGCTAATGAAATCAAGGTCAAAATAGATGAAGTGATTTGCCTAAGGTTATGGACTGAATAGAGGCAGTCGGAAATAGGATTATAAGATACAGAATTTTACTTCTGTCAATATGTAACTTTACTCATTGAACAAACATTTATTTATGTGACAGGTACCATTCTAGGGGCTGGGGGCCAACCGAAGCCCCCCCAGGCACAATTCTGCTCCTGATATTCACATTTCTGCAGAGTTCAGTTAGATGTGCTCAATGTGACTTTCTGCTATACCTTTTGGTAAATAGTTTTGTTTCTTCATGCTTTGATAGTGCCCTTATCTTCATTCAGTCCCAATTAACTTCCCCAGGCTTCTCATTTAATTAATTCCCATCCTTTTTTTTTTTCAAGGTACATTCTGGCTCTCCTGACTTAGTGCCATCCTGCCTCATTGTTATCCCCCGTTTCTAAAATAATTATTTTGAGTATAATGAAATGTTAAACATGGTTGAAACCAGTGTGTGATTATTGTAACTTTGGCTGCCAACAGATGTTTTCATATTTGTTGACTTGTATAATAAAGTGCCACAACAGAAAAATGAGTAGTTCCTTCATCCCTGCCCCCCTCCCTTTTTAAAATCTTTGTTGGTAAACATTTGTTCTATCATAATGAGAGCAGACTTGTAGACTTATTTTTCTTAAATGGTTGTCAATGGTTAGACAACAAAACACAAAAAATAGAAAAATTCTTCTGCCTTAAATATGAGGTACAATCTTTTGACCTTCTACCTTCATTTCCAAGAAAGTTCATATTCTGTACCATTGCCTTCCATCGTGTTTCTCCCAGCAACCCCACAGGTACTTCTAGTGGTTACCTGTAATCATAGAACATTTCTTTGTCTACTCTATTACTTGATGAATTCTTTTTCTTTCACTGCCTAATACTCTTCAGTAGTTATCCAGATAAACATTATTGTCTTTTTTAGTTATAGACACAATTAGATAATGTTGTGCTTAATGAACAAAAGAAAATAGCCACAGTTTCATGTAATACAGTATTAATAACGAAAGTGGCATTTTATTTTTGTTTAATATTTTTAAAGGATAGTTGTATGGTCTTTTTTTGGTAATGTTTATTTCTCTATAATTTTAAATACTCACAAAAAGCTGCAGGTATAGTACAGTTTCTCACATGCCCTCTACCTTGACTTACTAATTATTTATCTTTTGTCATATACCATTTTTTCTCTGTCTTCTCTCTCTCTATGAATATATGAAAAAATATATATATATAGTTGTCCAATAGAGGCAATTTATCTTCAATATAGTACCGTTATCTAAATCACAATTTATATTAAAATTTCATCTACTGTCCTAATAATGTTCTTAACAGCTAATTGTTTTATTTCCCACTGGTCCAGGATCTAATCTAGAATCATGCAGTGAATTTAGTTGCCATACAGTGCTTTATTTTTGTGTTGAAATGCTTACATTCACAGTAATGATCCGGAGAGTGTCCTTTTAAAAATAATCCCTGCTTGCTGACTGCTATTCCAATAATAAGAATTTAAGCCAAAAGATATGTAACAAAAATCCCTTAGGATTAGTGATATCTGTGTTAAGGATATCTGTGCACATCAACCTTGTAACTATTTTCTAACCACAATTTTGGCATTTTAATGGGAGAGGGTCCAAGACAGAAAACTCTGAGTTTATTAATATTTTACAGTTTTGAAATTTAAACCTTAGGATCAGGATTCTGCTGCCATTCTAGTGCATCATGGGTTAAAGGGATAGTGTTTATAAGTAGCCATGGAACAAGGATTCACAGTGCCCTCTTTAAAACCAATCCTAAATAAATATTTAGCTCAGCGCTATGCTACTGAAGCCTCAACTAAAATCAATATTCTCCTCAAAAGAAATGCTTGATATATTTAAAAACAAAACCTGGATGTAAATATGAGTTATTTGTCATTCTTGAAAGTAAATTCTCTTTTAAAAAACATACAACTATGCATTTTTTAATGTCCAACATTAAAATGAATATAAATAGTTGTCTTCCTCCCCAAAAATGCCACAAAAATTATTTGCATATTTCTAATGCCTATAGCATGCAGTGTTTTGCTTAATTCTGTAAATAGATTATGGTTAGATCTGTACAGTATGAGCAGTTTGCTTTTTAGCCACTGTCAAAGCAATAATAATCCCTAAATCTCAGATATTCTTTTCTCCATATCAAGCCCGATTCTAAAATTGGATTTTAAAAAAAAGCACTAAAAAGTCATCAGCTTTATCAACTATGTATGTATATAATATTTTGTGAAAAACACACAACCCTGCCTAAACAGATTAATGTTCTTTTAAAAGTATTGTACAAAAACATAAAAGTATCAAGCCTTGATATGAGAAAATTATCTGAGTCAGTTAATACCAATTACGTTACTGAAAAGTCAGATAGATGATGGAAGGTGCAAAATAATCCTGTGCTATGTTCACTTTTTCCTCTAAAATAAATACAAGGCATTTATACATGCAAGAGACAGAAATTAGCTACCAGAAAAATGCTGTGCACATCCATATGCAGAGCATAGATTAAGAATAAAATAGTTGTTTGTCCCCTACAGTAGAACAAGTTTGCCCATTCATCCTTGTGATAGATATGCATGCAAAACCAAAGTGAAATCAAATCCCTGCAGATGGCTCATAAGTCACAAACACTGTTTAATCCTTCCCTTTGGGAAGCCTGGCCCTTGGTAAGTAATAATGCACAATGTATATAGTGTCAACTCTTCTCTTATTTTTTAATAGGATGTCTTTGTCTTCTTTAGCAGATTTTTGTCCCATATTTCTTGTAAAGAGCTCTGTGTCACTCTTACCTTCATGTGTATGTCCACAGAATCTTGCTGTACTTTTTGTTTTAACAAAAAAGAAGTGTCAGTATACTTAAACTATACAAAGCATATCTAAAATTGATTGTGGCTCTAAGTCATGGTTTTAGAGGCAGTCAGGCAAACCTAAGTGCATTTTAACATTGCTCTTCCTAATGGATTTTACAGGAAACAGTTGAGTTTCAAGCAGGAATAAAGGAAAAGCAGATCTTGGAGGTTTAACTGTTGAACAGATGCAGTAAATGCGGCTTTGGAAATACAGCTGTCACTTTCGATATTTTATGCTGAGTTACCTATGTGACCCAGTAGCTAGAGCTGCTGACGTTAAAATATTTTTGTAATTCCGTTGAAAATAGATGCCATGAGAACTCTTAAAAACAGAGTAACATACCCATTATAAGACCTATTTTATTCTTTCCTCATTTTCACGATACCTGAATTTTTTGAAGACTGAAAATAATGAGAACTTATATAAAAAGGTACTTGTCTCTAGCACGATGGAAATTTTCATTTATGAATTGTTAACATGTCAAACCAAATCAGAAATTCCTGATATCTTTGTTACATTAAAGCAATGTTGCCTCTTGAGGAGGATTTAATTTTTTTACTCTTTTAAACTGAAAGTTGATCTTTTTAATGCAATGATGTGCAATTATTTTTCTCCTAATTCCTGATGGGCTTTTAATATATACATATTTATGTGTGTTTGTGTACACACATATCTATTAACATGTATATAAACATGTATATTTAAATACATGTATGTTTATCCTATGTACTAGAATAGTTAGTAGGTTATATCAAGACATTGATTAGCTTCTGAAAATAGGCAAATATGTGTAACATGTTGAAGTGTTTCTAACATCAGTGAAAAATAGAAAATTTAAAAGTAACATGGGGCTGTAGAAGCTTGATTTATAATAATCGTATTGGTACTTGAGACAGCACCAGAAATTTAATTAAGAATCATGTGATTTATTTCTTAATGAACATAATATTCTCTAATAATGTCTGCCTAGATTAGTGTTATTCTAATTTCAAATTAAAACACTATAGAAAGCATAATTGGCTTTTCACAAAATCAGTATATAAACTATCCACAGACTCTTGATCTCTAGCTCATCAAACAGCTTTAAAATCTAAACTATCTATATTATACTACATATACTAAATATGGATATATGACATTATTTTTATTGGAATATGTAGTAAAATTTTAAGTAGAAATATTAAATAATAAAATTAACATATTTATAACAATCGGAAATGATTCTGAACTACGTGTAGTCAAGTAACCACTGTATATATTGTTTTCCTTTTAGAAAAACAAAATAATTCTGAAAGAAAGAAAACAAAGAAAAACATACTCCAGAATTCCTAATAGAACAGTAAGTACTTTAATGACACAATGATGACAATAAATCTGTAAAATTAGAGCTTACAAATGTCTTTTATAAAAACACTAACTTTTCCATTTTCTAAGATGATAAATTAGCAGAGTAAGCAAGTGGAGCCATCTCTTTCAATTTACTGGAGTAAACTGAAAATCATTTGTCCTATAATCTGCTTAGATAAGAGGGCAAAGTAATCTTTATGACACATTTATGGAGCAGAAAATGTTTATGATGACTCCATCATATCTTTTGACTAGCATAGTATCATCTTAAATTCTAAAGAAGAAAACAGTAATAAGCTAGATGTAATCAAAGTACCTCATTTTCTCCATATGTGATAAAAAGTTTTTACTTATTTTGAACAAAATGTTAAATACTATTGATGTGCTTGGTTTATTTATAATCACTAAATTAGAATCATTAAAAAATGGCAGCTATCTTCAGGCTTAAAATCTACACGATATTATCATTAGTACATTTGTTTCTAATCTCACAACTTAACTAAAGATGTATTTTCTAGAAATGTATTTCCTTACTATTGTTTGATGATAATAATAGTTTCCCTAAATACATTTTCACTAAGCAAAGTTAAGTACATGTTGATGTCAATCCTCATGGTAAAATTGGTGACAAAATAAAAATTTCAAGATGCAGGCAATTATAAATTTTGAATATGTGAATATGAAGAACAATAACATAAAGACAGAAAAGCAAAACCCATGTTTATGACCCATGTTGTATCACATTTAATACCATTGAGTTTGAAATGCAGTTTCAAATTCAGTGTTTCAAAAGTTTCAAACAAATATTAGAGTAAAACATAGTATAATAAATTAACAAAATGAAAAATGTGTATCTTAATACATATCAAACTAGAGTCAAGTTCAATGAAAAAAGTAAGTTTGATATATAAAAAGTGAAAATTTCTAAATAATTTTTATAGGATGTATACAAATTATTCTTATATAATAAAATTTTTTAGCCCCCAGAGAACTTTGATGCATAAATTACATCTTAACTTTGAATGGTTGGATATAATTAATCATCATCATGATGATATAAATGAAGTTTTTCTGAAATATATTTTATTTATTTTTGAGATATGAGAGAGGCAGAGAGAACACCTGTTTCTTTTACCTGTCTGTCTGAAGATTATGTATGTTACAACTTCACACAAAGCACTCTGCCACTTACTTTTTGTTGTAGTTATGAATGGCTATATATTTTAAATCAGAAATCTATAAAATTTATAATTCAAAATGTTTACACTTTTAAAAACTGCTCTTTGATTTAAAAAATTAACTCTAAATGTTTGAAAGTCTATTTTGAGTTTTCAGAGCAGGTTGTGAGCATGTTTACCTAGTTCTGGGTATAAGGATAATTTAAGAATCAGATTTTTCCATCATATATAACAATTTTTGAAATTCTGAAAATCTGAGTGAGTTACAAGATATGAAATAAGTGAGAAATTTCTTTTTAACATAGAATTTTTTTATCATCTTAATACCCAACATAGACAACGAAATCATTCAGCCCAAACAAACATTTTTAAACACCTAAAATATTAGACTGTCTTAAAGTTTTGTTTTTATATATATAATTCTGTTTTGAAACATAATTTTGATTCTGTGCAATACTCATTGAAAAATGGTTGAATTTGTTTCAACTGATAAGACCAGACATATTTGTTTTAAGCTCTTTGTACAAGAACCAAGTGATATCTACTTTGTTCCCTCACAATTTCTCAGCCTTCTGAGTATAATTTCATGTGAAAAGCCATCAATGACTCATTTTCTGCTCTGACTTATGTATAAGTTATTTGGTCTATTGTTCAGGTGTGACCTATATAAGTTATTTGACTGGAAATGTAATTTTCATAATTGTATTGAAATAGGATTTAGCCTAGCATACCTAGGAGAGATCTCATTCAAGTAATGAGATCTCCTGTTCATTTGGAGTAATCTTAGAAAAAATAACATACATGTTTCCAAAGAAGAAATTATGCCTCTTTTTATGCATTTTTATGTGGTTTGGAGCAGTTTTTCATCTCATATTTTAATTGCCTATTATTTAATAATTATATGCTAAATCACTCATAAATTACATGCAAAGGAAAATGACTCAATTCAAGCCCATGTAATAAAAAGTATAAAATTTTTAAAAATTTTATCAGATATTGTGAAGAAGAATACTCTGACTTAAATGACATTATCAAAACATGAGAGTTCTTAATATGTCTTAGCCACTAAAGAGCTAATGAGTTAGTGTTAGACAATAAATGGAATAAAACATGATATCAGATGAATATAATAGATAATATAGTGACATTTTATCTATAGACTGTGCATGTGTTGCTAGCCCATGAATGAGTTTTATGAATTGTATTTGAATCAAAACTTTATAAATGAAAGCTTTTTAGCACAGGAAAGCTCTACAAACCTCTTACAATTTTGCTTTTAAATTCATAGGTTAAGAACAAGTTGATAATTGATTAAAATATTACTATAATATTACTGAAGACATTTACAGCACATTGCATTTATTGCTCACAAAAGGTTTTTGTGCTTAAGAAAGAAATATAAGATAAAAGATAAAAATATAAGATGCATTCTTATAAGAATGTAAGAATAAAAGACCATTGGAAAATGTATGCTAAAACACAGTTGACCCTTGAACACCAACTCCCACGCAGTCCTAAAATTCCACGCCTAACTTTTAACTCGCCCAAAAGTAACTACTAATAGTGTACTGTTGACTGGATGTTATCAATAACATAAATAGTTGATTAACTCATATTTTTCATATTATGTGTATTATATAGTCTATTCCTAACAATAAAGTAGGAAAAGTGAAGAAAATGTTACTAAGAAAATCGTAAGGAAGAGAAAATGTATTTACTATTCATTAAGCGGAAGTAGATCATCATAAAGGTCTCCATCCTCCTCTTCACATTAATTAGGCTGAGGAGGAAGGGGAGGGGTTGGTTTTACTGTCTCAGCAGTGGCAGAGGCAGAAGAAAACCTGTGGATAAGTGGACCTGCGTAGTTCAAACCCTTGTTGTTCAAGTGTCAACTATAGTCATCTTTCTTTTGATTGCTGAAGCTCAGTAGTACTTTCAAGAACGTCATAGTCTGCTCCTTATAAACTCTGATCATACTGGATGCTAATAATAAAGAGGGTGTGTTTAAAAACTCATTCAGATGCTCAGACATCCTTTTAGAAACCATTCATATTATCCTAGATTTCCTAAGCCTCTTTAATACAACTGGGAGTTGAGACACTCACTCAAAGTATGACGATTATTAACAACCCTGCTTTCCTGAAAAACCAAATACAGCAAGAAGTTTTCAATAAGAGTGATTCTAATGGAAAGCAGATTTTAACCAATAAAACATCTTGTGACTCATTAGAGAATAAATATTATTTGCAAATACCCCAAATGTTACCTACAAATGCTCCTGACAAGTTTTACTTAGTCAATATTTCCCTATTAGAAGTAATAAAGTCCTGCAATAAAAAAGCATAAGCCTGTGAGTGTGTGTAATAGTGGCATAAAGCTAGGAGAAAATGTAGAGGTCACCTATTCTAATACTTTCATTTTATAGAGGTTACCTCCTCTAATATTCTCATTTATATATGGGCTGAGAGGTCAAGCCATTTGCCTAAGCTCTTATATCTAGTGATAGAACTGAAAAAAAAAATCTGTGCTAATTAACCACCTACCATTTTTTTCTATCTACCATATTAACTGAAAGTGCCATTATTAAAAAATGTGTGTCAGAACTGTTAAAAAAAACCTCTTCTCCAAATTTAATCTTTTTTCAACCAAAACACTAGCGAAAATTTATGTAAATTATTGTTTGTCTAATCTCTAGTAGTCTAAAATTGTATTTTGATATAGTTTATTAGAACGATGTTTATAAAGGTTATATATCTCCACTGTATAACCTTTATAAATAAATAAATATATATATGCATCTCCACTATGTATGTATAAAGAGAGCTCATTTATATAGGTATTTATTTATTTATTTATATTTATATACATCTCGACTATATATGTATAAAGAGAGAGGTAATCTGAGTCTTGACTTAATCCAATTCCATCTAATATTTATTAATGATAAGCAGTAAAGAAAAATAGCATATGCACATTAAGTTTTCATGAGCAGAGAATCCATAGGAGAAGGTGAGGACATTCCAGATTACACAGTTAAAAAACTACTAGATAATAATAATGTGTAATAATAATACATGCATGCAATCTGCCATCAGCAACACTTAAACAGTTATCTCAATGAGTCTCTCTTTTCTCATCTGGGTAATGAAAAATGTCTGCCCAACATACTTCCCAAGATTCTCTGAGATCAGATTAAATATATGAAGATCTTTACAGTGGTATTTAAGTTAAAATTCTTATATATATTATATAAATTCTTATGTATAAAATAATGCATATTAATGTTAAAATTATTTTATAATATTGACAAAATTATTAAACATTCGATATCACTAATAAAATATATTGATATTAAATAAAAATAATTAAAATTTATATATATAATAAACACTTATTTTTAAATAAACAATAAGTATTATTACATAAAAACAGATTATTATTATGAAAAGAAGTTCTTTTTGTGAACATTTGCCTTGTTTTTGGAGTACCATGTGTCATTTTATAAAGGCATGTTTGTGAAAAAACCAAAGTTGTTGGTTGATTTTTTCTTTAGGCAATAATGATCATACAGAAAAAAAATTCCCTTTTTCTTGAATTTATAATTTATCTTTAATCCTGATCCGTGTTCCCACACATAAGCCTAAGAGAGCTCATATATGGAAGGAAGGGAGTTGGGAAAGGAAAGGAAGCATTTACTGGGCTTTCGTTTTGTGTCAGGTGTTTAGTAGGCATTGAACTAAATTTCATTTAATTATTCAAAGAACTCTTCTGATGTTATAACGGTTTTACAGATGATGAAAATGCGGATTCAAAG